GGGATAGCATTTCTCACCAACCTGCTTCCCCGCCGCCTTTCTTTCTTGGCCTGGCAGAAGTACAAGACGATGAGCACGATCGGCCAGTTCTGCCAGGTGAGCTTCACAACGATGACGAACATAGGCTTGGTTCCCTTCATGTGTTACCGCCATCCCGCAGGCAGCGAGAGCGTGCTGAAGTACAGCGACGTTTTCTGTAACTCGGCCGAGCACACGCTGATGCAGCTGCTGGGCATGGCCGTCTTGGCCTTGAGTGGCGCCTTCCTCGCCTCCTGCTTCTTCTTCGCGTGGAAAGCTCCTTCATGGTCAGGCAAAGCAATCCAAGGAGGTGTCCGCTTCCTGATCTTCCGCTTTAGACCCAATGTCTGGTGGTTTGGCCTTGTCCTTCTCACACGGGGACCGCTCCTTTCAATGCCCGCCGTCGCAGCGCCAAACAAGCCGGCAGTGCAGTTTGTTTGCTTGCTCGGCATCCTGCTGCTGTCCCTGCAGCTGCAGGTGTGGTACTTGCCATGGAAGGCTCCGATCCTGAACTTGGTGGACGGTGTCACCAACCTGCTCCTCGTGATGCTCTTGGCAATTGGCTTGGGCCGCCTCGGCCCAGACCCGGAGGACGGGCCTGCAGTCCTCGACAGCTTGGCCGCTGCCATCTCTGCGATGATGATGAGTGTGCTCGGCCTCATGCTCGTACTTGCCATGGCCGCCCTCTTCTACAAGAAGGCTTTGGGCAGCAATGATGAGCTTTGGATCATGAATCTCGGCAAGCCACCATCCTCCAAAGACTTCTGCGACACCTTGTCGAACTTCCTTCACAGCCAGCAAGACATGCAGGAGAAGGAGGTGCGACAAGTGGTGGACGCGCTCTGCGTCTACGACTACTGTGACGTGAACGCGTCGATTGTCCTCCTCAGCACGGAGCTGGGTTTCCGCAGCAAGCTCACAGATGCCTTGGCCAGGCGCCGGATTACCTCTTCGGGATCTTTTGCTTCCCTGCCTGCAGGAAGTAAGACACAGCAAATGGATGCCGAAGTAGAAAGCGTCGACGAGGAAGACAACTGCCTTGAAAGCAATGCGGACGAGGCTGCCGTAGCCAAGATGGAGCCTCACGCAGAGGAGACCCGCACTGAGTGGGCTTGAGCAGAGTCTCCTGCCAGTGCAGGCAGACTCGGCTTTCTCTTTGCAATTCTTAATTAGTGTACCTTCGCGGCTGTCCTAGCCAAAATGTACGGGCAGAACACCCGCTGACGATGTGGGAGTCGGCATGTCCAACCTTTCATTTTTAAAGCTGCAGCATTCCTGGATACTTTCATGAAAGCTGCGGTCGCGGTCGGGAAGGACTAGGCTTAGGCTACTGCAACTTGGCGAGGATCGATGGATCGCCTTGTGACCTGCCCCGCAGAGTGTGGAGACTTCTACCGTCTGCATGATACTTAGCAGAAAGTTGAATCCGCTGTTTCTGCAAGGGCAGGCACGCTCAATGCTTGAATCAGTTTGAAGGCGCCGTGTGGTTGGGGGATCCTCCTGTGCAGTCTGAGCTTTGATGCCGGCCCCCAGTATCCCCGGCCTGATAATGTACTTGCGTTGTCAATGTCCAGCCTTCGTTGAGCATGTCGTTGGGCGTGATTCTGAACGATAAGGGTGGACAGACAATCATGTTGGTGCATTGCGCAGCACCTCCATCTACGCAGAAATTCGGCCTCATCGGCCAGCGCGGCACCTGAGGAGTTTAAGATGTTTGTGCCGGATCACTCACGCCATAGGCGTCGACGGGAGCCGTTCCAGAGGGGTCTGGCATGCTGCGCAGGCGTTGATGCGAGGATGTCCCCTTGAAGATGGCCCGCAAAAAGACGCATCACTCCGACATCTCCGGCAGTATATGCATGCTGTGGTTGCATATCATGTGTCTGGAGGCAGTTGAGCCTCGACCGGCTTCACACGCTGTCCCTTGGCTGCGACTTGATCTCGCCAACTGCTGCGGGCTACATATACTTATTACATGACAGTATGCGCATATTAAGGGTTTACCAGGCAATTGACAATCCTGGGCGTTTTCGGCGAAGAATCACCAATATCAAGATTTATACACGTGCACAAATACGTGTGTATGTATGTACATAAGGTTGTATAAGTATGTAAGTAAGTATTTATGTATGCATGAATGTATGTATGTACACCAATATGTATGCATGCATGCATGTATGTATGCATGCACGTTTGTTTATATGTGCGTGTATGCGTATGCAGGTCTGTATACTGTGGGTCTGCAGGTATGTTTGTGTGTCTGCATGTCTGCATATCTGTAAGTATGTAGGTGTGTGCATGTTTGTATGCATGTACATAGTTCTATGAACTTCTGTAATTATGTACTGTACTGTGGCATGTAATGTATGCATGTACTAACAACTTGCATACAAATTTGTGTCTGCATGTACGTACATGTGCATGCACGTATGTATGTATGTATGTATGTACGTATGCATATTATGTGTACGTGTGTATGTGATATGGATGCATACAGAAACATGCACAACCAAATGTGTATGTATGTATGTATATATATATATATATGTGTGTGTGTGTATGTATGTATGTATATATATATACTTATTCATTTATTTATGTATTTATTCTTTAATTATACTACACAGGTACAGTTATGTTGTTTAGGGCTGGGATTGGTTAAGCCTCTCTCTATGATTTTCCATGCCCGCCGATGGCGACGGGGACTCTGAAGCTGTCCTGGAGCCCAGGACAACATTCAGGTGACACAACCAACGGAGTTTGAGCTGAACTTATCGGTCTAACCGTTCGTCTGCAAGCATCGCACGCTCCGAACTCGTCGGCCACACCAGAGCCCGGACCCACTGAAGCTTGTAAACAGTGCAGGCGCCTCGATGTCCTGGAGGAGAGCGGCCATCTGCCGCAGAGGCCCAGACATTGCATGCGCCCGCTGGTTGTCTCAACACCTCCCGTGCTTGCCGCCATGCAGGCTCGCGGACAGGCTTCTCAGCTGCCTGGGCCGTACTCTGAAAGCCGCCAAATGCACCGGGGCTTTGCCTTTGCAGGATCCGTGTCCGTCTCTTAACCTGCAGCCGCGGTGTTTAGCGGGCAGCGCGATTTTTGATCTTATGCCTAGCTACAATGCTGCGGTTCATGTGGCTTCGGGCTTATTCTGGAGATGTACGGGCAGCAATTCGAGCACCGCAACTCAGAAAGCCGTGCCGTCTTGAGCGCACGTCGAACTTCGAAAAGCATTCAACTGCCACCATGTCTACTGCAGTCGATGCCCCGGTTTTTCCACGAACCTCAGTGTGATCGTGCCAGTATATTGTCGCTCATTAATTATAACGCTTAGTACTGAGTTATACATATATATATATATAAGAACATCTAATTGACGCCCATAAGCTAAAGCAGGAAGCATGCTTAAACTGGCTGCTGCAAGATGCGCAGTCAACCTTTGATGTTGACACAACGAACAGATGTTTCACTAATATATACTCAGAACCTGGCTGATACTGACATTTTGATCAAAAACAGTTCATTTACAAATGAAGGTTAAAGCAACTACTATGTCATACCCACGTAGATAAAATTCGATCATATATAGCTGGTGTTAGACTGTTCACAGGTAAGGTTAGCTAGTTCTTCCGTGATGTTTCACCGAATGTGTACGGAGGGCTCGTATCGTAGAGCTTTCGATCCAAGCATCCATTGAAGTCCTAACTGTTGCTCGGCACGGCTAGCTTAAAGTGTTACTTTGAGCCTTCATTGGGACCTCAGCCGGGGCAGTATCAGGCTGGAAGCAAACAACAAGTTCATACGCGACTCAAAAACGCAATATTGAGGCTACACATAACATATTGGCACGTCTCCTTCTCAATGAGCAAATAAACGACAGTCAATGTCTCCAAAAGTTCCGCTCATGCTGAACTATGCATTGTATCAGCATTCACCGAAGTGGTATTACTGCAATGTCTTGTTTTTCCCCCGTAACATTAAACGGGGGGCCCCCCAATAGAAACTCGGAAAGTGCTTTTATTATTTTGGTGTATGTTTATTTCTAACTGCCACTTTTGAGGGGTTGTGCTCTGGCTCTTGCTCCCACGCTGGCTTTTGTTCCTTCTCTCTTGTTTTTGCTCTTGCTTTTGCTCTTACAGTGCTCTAAGGGTATTTGGAGCCTCGAAGCACTCCCCCCCTAATTCAGAACAGGCTTTAAAGGACAGGGATGATTTCGGGAGGATTCGCCCCAATGTGTTTTTTATTATGTGGGGGGGGGTGTTTCATAAAAGGGGAAAGTGACTAAAATTCAGTGTTGAGTAGTTCTTTCTGAAAGTGCCTTGAAATCCAGGCGCGCCAAACTAGTACTGTATGTGTTGTTATGATGTAGATAAACACTTACTGGTTGATATTAAAATGAACGCAGTGTGCTTACAGACTACCCAATACATTACGTGGCTGCAATGTGCTCGTATTGGGTAATGTTGCTCATACGGCAACAACAACAACGACAACAACCACAACAACAACGTTCATTTCATTCAGACGCTCGTGCGGGTCGTCCCGCACCTTGGCGAGCATAGGGCTGATGTTCATGAATGGCGGGCAAGTTTAGCAAACTGGAAACCATACGGACCAAGATAGGCCCAAGAACAAAGCAAGCAAAGCTAGAAACGGCCCCATAGCTGGCCAGTGTTGCCTCGCAGCAATCTGCCTAAAGCTAAGCAAGACCTGCTTCACATGGCGGTCGGTGGACTCAGCCCGTGCGGAGCGCAAAACTGCACCCTGCGCGCCGGCCCGAGGACTCTGCACACGCGTTTGTGTGCAAAACAGAGCTTTAAGCGTATCACTCGCGGAACTTGTGGGCTTTGCTCGGCTGCTGCGCGTCTTTTCGTGAACAAGTTCAAACACAAAGCAAATCAACTTAGTAGTAGAATGGAGGAATGACCCTAGGCACGCATGAAAGTGCAGCAGACCGCCAGTCAGGAACCTAAGCCAAAGAATTTACAAACGATACGTGTCGTCCGGCTAACTAGGCTACCTCACCGGCGCGGGGTTTGGAACTTGGCCTAGGGATTAACCGCTGCTTCAGAGAAGCGAGCACAACAACACTAACCCGACGAGCGGGACTTCTAGGCCTCAGAATTGCCTGACCCGACGAACGGGACTACTAGGCAAAGTTGATCAGCTTGGCAACTAGACAGCATGTCCGGCCTTGCCCGATGTACTGGACTACTGGCCTTGCAGACACAAGCCTTACCCGGCGGACGGGACTACCAGCTACAGCTACAGCTTGAAGCCGTTGGAAATCTAGTGTGCAATCACGAATTTGGCAAGTCCGGCCTGGCCCGACATTCGGGACTACTGGGCCTTGCAGAGTAAAGAAGCCATACCCGACAAGTGGGAATGCTAGGCTGATTCATGGTTTTCCATTCCACCTTGAAACACGTGGATCCGAAAGAGCCTGGATGGCGTTTACAGTCGCAGTCTGTCAGTGGAGGGGCACCTTTGCACTGATTGCCCATCTTCTCGCTCGCCATCGTCTTGAAAAAAGGATTATGATTGAACAGAAAGCCCATCATCAATAAAAGGCAAGCAATACAAACGTATAGGGCACGTGAGAGTGCAAGCGTCCCAACGCTTCCGAGGACCAATACTATGACCAGGTTGCACTTTAAGCAGATCGCATACCCCCCCCCAGAACAAAGCTCCCACATACGAGCACTGTCAGCGTAGAGAACGAAGTTGTGGTTGTTGTTATTTTGGGTTGGACTTCGAAGATCGGTGCTAGACCCAGAGACCCAGAGACGTAGCAAGATGGGACCACTGTAAAGAACGCTGGGTTTCCCTGGACTCTGAAAAGACTAGAAGTAAACAAACATCCTGTTCTTTGATTTTGGCAAGCATATGCGACCATCCCAAGCTGATAACACGATTCAAGCAAATTCCCGCGTGGTTTGTGAGCAATACCGAACTAAGTAGGCCAGTGCCATCCGATTTCAGTTTCGAGGACCAGAGGCGCAGACTTGAAGGCTTTACAGAGATCTGCCGCTAGTGCAACAGGGACTCGTGAGCCTTTTCCGGTCTCTTGGCACGGTGGGACTGCAACGGCGGAGAGCATCTGTACACATGCTGAAACGTATCCATAAAGCTGAGAAAAAATAAACCAAATATCTGCTTTGCAAAGAGTGCAACATAGTGCAACCATGGAATAGCCCTGCTATGTTTCGCCTGAAATACAAGCAGGTCAGACTCCCCCGCCGCGCGGAAGACGGGAACCCTCACGCTCAGGAACAGTAACGGCAAGTGTTGCATGTCTCCCCCCCCGGATTTGGGACCCGGTCAGCTCCAGGATAACGCCTGCAATGTGGCGTGCCTGCAACCGCCACTGGTGTACTGAAACCTAATAGTCGAGACTGGAGACAGCAGCTGCAACTGGGCCATGAGTACTCGTGCAAAACTGGAACTTGGACATGAGCGCTTGGATGCAGCTTCTCGAGTTGATGGGTTTTTGAACATTTCTCGGGGCCTGCCGCCACTGGCAATGGGAAGCAAGTGAGGTCCCTTCTGCAGAGCTCTGGGATTTACAGTGGACAAACTGCCTCTGGAAAAACACGGAGGCTACAAGATTCGTGAAGAAGCCACAGAGAAGACAGACGGGTTTCCACCGATGACACCAGGGCTGCACTGCATGAATGACCAAATATCCCAGGGCGCTTCGGAGAGCTATTGCCAGTTGATATGGCATTGAGTGGGCCGCTGAAATGGACAACAAAAGGCCTGGAGTGCAGACTGAGCCTTTGCCAGACACCCGTGAAGACAGCCCCCGTCGTCAGTGACTGGGCTCACTTCTGCATGATGCTACGCCGCCTTGGTCAAGAGGAGGCCCTTGTGAACTCGAGAAGCCGAGTCGTTCTCCTCCGCAGTAGCTGAGAGTCGCACGTTTCACCTCTAGTGTAAGCCACGTAATGTGCCGCTGACTTGTGCCAAACTGAGACATACCCGTGGCTCCTTGGCTGTGAACCCTTTGCCGGATGACTAGCGGTGTCGTAGCCCTTCTGGTTTTGTCATGAGACGTCTCAGTCTATGGCCTTAGACCGAAGAACACACCTTGAATCTGAGGCACATGTCCTCAGAGATAGTCGAGCCTGCATCCACTGTCGATTAGGCCCTTTGACTTGAGCTCTGTCACTTACTTTACTGGCTGAGTTTTGGATAGTGGCATGCATGGGCAGCTCGAAGTGTCACGCCGACTTATGCACCTATGGATCCTCGCCTGGCTGTGTCCGAGTTGTGAGAGTGTAAAACGGAGGCTTCCTCACAGAAGTTGTAAAGACAGCACAATGCCAGCCTGAACTACACAGATGTGTGGTTGGAGAGCCAGGAAACTGTTGGAATCTCAAAAGTTGGGGCCGTCCACAGGCTGTCCTGTGGTGATTCGACGGCTACAACTCGCGGCCGCTTGAGCTGGTAGCGCTTCAACAACAACACCGACCACCAACCACCAACAACACACAACACTCACAACAAACAAACAATAACAAACTCTTGTTGGGCGATGTTGTTCATATGGCACCCTCAAAGCAGGAACAACAACAACAAGCAAATATTATATACTGATAATGTCGTAAGTATATATAATCTGAGCACTGAATTTTTGTCAATGCTTATGAACGCGATTTGGGGACTGTAGGCTTCTGTGATTGGCGGTGCATTTAACATGCAGTTCAAAACGCTACATTCGAGAAATACAGAGCGAGTGAACATGCAGCATTGAAAAAATTTGCATTGCAAATGCAAATAACCAATGAGTAGTAGTTGGATAAGACATCAACGGGTGTTTCGTCGTTCCTCGCCGCAATGCCAAGCATTTTTTATACCTTCTACACCATGAGAACCATAGCCTTCAGTTGTTTCGACTCTCTCGCAAGCAGGTTTTGGACAATCTGTACACAATGCACATAAGCGTGCTGGCCACTCAATACTATTACAACATCTTTTGCAAATCGAGCAGGCATCTTTCTGATTTTAGGCGAATTTTGGTTGGTGACACGAATCTCGTACCCAGGCAGAGGGCAGATCCTCCGGTGTGCACGATCAACTTGGGTGTGGGCGGGGGTACTTTTAACGTAAACTTACATGGACATGCAATACCGTGTAACTGTGTCTGGTAATATGGTGCAGCTTTACCAGGGCTCCCCGGACAGACTACGAATCACCAGCTCAAGAAAAGCACAAGAAAAGATATATTTCCCAGCGCAAATTAAAAGGCACGAACACGAAAAATCATATACGTAGCACAAGTTTGGAACTCAAACTACCAACCAGGCCAGGAGCAGACCACACTCAATATCAAAAATCTGCCGTTGCATATCACGATCGCGAACGTTGAGCGCAACTAATACTAGCCAAAAGCACAGCAAAGCGCAGCGAAATCAGTCTTTCTGAACACAAGAAACAATTATTCACGAACACAAAAGCCTCGGCGGGTTCGGCGGTGGTGGTGGTGTGTCTCCGGTTAGCACGTGCTTGCAGTTCACGGAATCGTTCGACTGGGGATGTTGCATGGATGTGGAAGTACTTGCGCATATTAGTCTGTTGTTACTAGCTTCCTCTGGTTTACTTTGCTCGGCTTTTGTATAGGTATAGGTATACCATGGCCATGTACCCCAAACCCTGCGGAGGAGCTCTCCCTGCGTTTGGCATCCTTCGCCGACAATGCAGAGCCACTCAGGAGCACAGCTTTCGTCTTGTCTTGGCATCTGCGATGAAGGGACCGTAGGTTGTCCACGGCGTCTACGGCCGATGGGGCTTCGTCGCGCACAGCACTGGGCACAGTAATGAAGAAGACATTTTTTTGCACCCTCGTATGACCCAGTTCTTGCAGGCCGTCCTCCGAAGCTCGCATTGCCCTCATCGAGGGTCTCGAGTGCCTGCCGCTGCGGCGGCTGCAGCTTAGCCCTTCATGCCTGTGTTCCTCAAGTTGTAGTCTTCCTCATGCCGCTGTGATTACCATTCCTGTTGTTTCCATGAGATCCCGCTTGGTTCAGGTTCTTTGACTTTAGTTGTTGTTCGCCAGGCTTCTTGCCACTTCGGCAGAAAGATGTTTTGGAGAAGGCCGGACTGGCAGAGCCTTGCGGTACGAATGTAAGCAGTTTTGCACCTGAGGGTTACTTCCTGAACCGGAAGATCGCATGCCACAGTTTCAATTAAGGACCAACAAGCACGTCTTGTTTTGCAAAATTGCGTAATGCCTAAGGTGAGGACTGAAACTTCGAGAATCAGCAGCATGGGAACGGACAGCTAGTGTAGTGTACTCTGGTGTATAGGACACAAAGCCCCACACGGTATCACGCCAGGTGGAGGATGCAAGCAGCGGGAGGTGTTTAACCTTCACATCAATGCTTAGAGGGCTTGGCCATCTGGAGCATCTCGTCCTGACCCACAACGGCATGTTTGGAGATGTTGCCATGGAGTTGGCGAAGGTGGGGACGGTCAGCAGGAGTAGGAAGCAAGAGTCTGAGTAGGACAAGAAGTAGCGATAGTTGTGGCAGTGCTGGTAGACGCAGTAGTACCAGTATGAGTACAAAGCAGTATCAGTAGTAGCAGTAGCAGCAGTAGTAGCAGTAGCAGTTGCAGTTGTGGCGGCAGCAGGAGTAGTAGTAGTAGTAGTAGCCGCAG